GTATACATAAAGAAGAACATATGTGTATGTATGTATATGTATGTGTATGTATGTGTGTATTATGTGTGTGTATTCTGTTAAGAGTATTTGTATCCTTGGTTTATCTTACATTTGTCTTTATTGCGCCCCCGTCATATCAGTTATTTCTCACGCTCTTACTGGTCGACTGGTAGAGAATGCCTTATGGCATTATGTCGGTCATTTGCTGTGTTATGTTGCAATAAAGTTTAAATAAATAAATAAACATTTAGCAGTTAAATGCTTAAAAATTATAGAGTTATGATTTTATTTATTTTTAAGCATTTAACTGCTAGATGTTTAAATCTAAAGAAAAGTTTACTAGAAAAAAATCCACGCGGACCAGGCAGCGGACGGGACTCGAACCCGCATCCTTCGCAATCCGGGCGAATGCACTGACCATTATGCTACCACGGCCCTATTAGCCGTGTCGAAATTTTCCTAGCCTTAAGCCGCAAGGCAGCTTCTAGTAAACTTTTCTTTAAATTATAGAGTTCCTCTTAACAGGATTTAAGATTCAGTCACATTTCCACAGTGTTTGTGACATGCGACAGCCCTAATCAGAGCTTCATAACTTAGTTACTTGTTAATCCCATGTGTTAGTGGTAAAGGGTTCACTTAAGTGGCGTCCTCTAACTTGATTTAGACCGGCCGGGAACGCAGTCATTCGCACGCAATCGTATAGCCCACAGAGCAGAGCAAATACCAGGAAATTGAGCACATACTCTGAATGTTTATACGTGATTGTAATATGGATGAAAAGCTTACGATCAAATCGATAAATAATCGATAGATGTATAAAGAATCGATACGAAGAAAGAGGAGATCGTAGAGTACCTGCGAGTGAAGACGAAGTTCTCCCTGCGGGTGGCACGGTTGGAGTCCCGTCACAATGTGAATTTTAATTCATTTGTGGTGAGGGTGCCGACCGAACATCTAGCGACTTTTATGAAAATAGAACTTTGGCCGAAAGGTGTTGTGTTCCGGCGATTCCGAGGCCGGTTACCCGATACCACTAGGCGTCACACGTCGCCAGCTATACGTGTTAATGTCGCCGCACACGGGCCACACGCCACAGCCACAAATGCCGCCACGGGAGGCTAGAAGTGGCTACTAAAGTGGCTGAAGCGCGCAACAGCGGCCGACTAAGGTAAGGGAGAGAGGGGTGGGGAATCGCGCGAGTGACGTGTGGCGGCGTTTTGTATCGGCGCATTAAGTGGCCGATGCGGGTCACAAGAAGGGAGCAACGACGATTTGTAGCGTGTGGCGGCCACCGGCGTACCGTGTGTGGCGAGTCCATATAAAATGTATGAAAACTACAAGAAATATGCCGGTGGCGGCGTTTTGTGGTTGTGGTCGGTGGCCCGTGTGCGGCGAAACTTAATTAGGTGTTTAGTAACATAGTTACTAATTTTATTTAGTAACAATAATGTTTTATATCTGTATGTATGTTAGACGATAAGGTATTTATCTATGGGCCTATGTTGCCTAATCATAAATAGATAAATGAAATAAATAAAAATCGTACATTTTACTAGCAAATCATTTTTAACCGCAAGTCATTATTTAGGTCAATATTTTACCGTTTAAATATATTTCGTAATCACGCCCAAGTTAGTTCGCGTTTGTCTCAAGCAGTGTGCACACAGTTACTTTCAAGTTTAATAATAAATATTATCGTCAAGTTTATCAAGTGTTTTCCTGTCATCGATATCAATTAATAGCAATTCAATGCAGGGCTTGAAACCGATTTCAAAAATACCGGTAAATAAAGGTTAATACCGGTTTTTAGTAAAGGTTTCGTTCGGAGCGCGTCCGAAATGAAAGCGGTACCTAAAACCTTAATTAACCGGTTTAATCCAGAGCGACACACGATCAGCCTATTAATGTCCCCACTGCTGGGCCACAGGCCTTTCCTATGGATGGCATAGGGAGATTAGGCCATGACCCACCACGCGGGCCCAGTGCGAGCGGGTGCTAACGACTGCAGATGCAGCCAGGACCAACGGCTTAACGTGCCTTACGAAGCACGGAGAAACTCGAGATAGAAGATTCTTGGTCACCCATCCAATGACAGACCACTAAATTTGCTTAACTTCAACGATCGCAGCTGAATGTACTATCCACCCGCGCCATCGAGCTCCTGAAAACATATACATATACTTAGTTACTGTTGGAAATAGCGTTTCAAAATAACATAATTTGATTTTCATATAAAATTCGCAGTATGAGTTATACCAAGCTACGCACAATACTAGTTGATGTCGAAATATGAAAAAAATATCAATATATCGATACATCGATCTTTTAAAAAATATCAATATCGGCTTTGATATATCGCGAAAAAAACATCGATATATCGATATATCGGACCAATTTTCCCAAAAATATCGTACAGTATCTCACGAAATATGACACGCGGAATAATAATGGAACGAAAATTATCTCCCTAAAAATAGACCCTATTTTCGAATGATGAAAATCATTAATCTGAGATCCAGTTACGATTTTTCCAGATACGAATTTAGTTAATAATAATAATAATTAAAAAAATATCGTTTTTGATACGAATTTCGATATTGGTTATTTTGTATCGATGTGTCGATATATCGAATCAAAATATATCGGCAAAAAATATCGATACATCGATATATTTTCAACAAGCCTACACAATACCGTTACATAATAACATCAACTTTAATTGTAACTTGGAACAACTCGGATTAAGTTGCAAACTTTTAACAACTAACTTGGTGTATTATTTAAGTGAGTTTCGTTATGAGGACGACTTAAGTTCCAATTAAGTTATTTTGACACACAAAAAGTCGGTCTGAACATTTTGGTAAATGGTTAAAATTAACTGTAACGCAATTAGTACTTTTGTTGGTGAATTGGGCTAATTTGTACCTACAGTACAGACTTAAACATCTAGCAGTTAAATGCTTAAAAAAATAAAAATATGTAACATTTTACATTTTCAAAGGCGATTGCTCAAATTGGCCCAAGTGTACAAAAAATATTGACATATACGGTAATTCTTGGCGTAATTTATACTTTATTTTGCAGTCATTAGATTTTAACGTACACCTTTGTATAATATATTTATTTTAAAAAGGACTTAATTTTTCCGGTTAGGAAAACATAGCAATATTTTTTTAATGGCTATGGGTGTAGTAACATTCAGCCAAATACTGATCGAAGTTGTTTATATAACATCATAACAAATCTATTTTGTAAAGATCGATAAAATAAATCATTTTTATTAATTACAATGTGGTATTAATATCCACAACTATTTTATCATTTTCACTACATGCAAATGTGCTAAGACAATTATTATAGATGGTAGGCGACATCATAAAGTCTATTGCCATACATTTTTCGCCAAACACCTCCATAAACACATTATAAGGTGTGATACACTAAAAATATAATTATAATATAAATATAACAGGCTGTATAAGGGTGAATATTTGAAAACGTACATTTTTGATGTCTCGCTGTGAATAACACATTAAACCTAAATCGATTTTGATCACTTTTTTTATATACATAGTTGATTAAGTGGGGTACATATTGCAGATCAATTTATTGTGTTTTATAAGCTATAAGCCATTTTTTAAAAAAAAAAGTTCCCAAAACCTCATTACCATTCGTGTCCCTTTTCCCAGTTTTCAACCATTATGATAAGAAAAATTAAACGAAAACTTCGAAGAATATTTTTTTTTCTTATTATTTAGTAAATATAATAGTTAATGTATAAACTGAAATAAAATATATGATATAAAGAACAGTTTCAGTTAATTTTATACCAATTCAAAAACTGTCCCACCCTTCGTACTACTTACCGTTCGCGAATACTGACAGTGAAATAGAATTGTACCCAATGGTAAATGTAATCCTCGCGACGATTCCCCACCACGACCTCAGTGCCCGTTAGTGACTTGAGCAGATCGCACGTCTTAAAGAGCGATTTCGCGCCAACGAAAAATTAATATTCTACAAAAAATCGTCCAGGTCAAAATAAAATCTCCTTACCGTTCGTGTCTTCTAAAGGTAAGTTATTTGTTCAGATTAATTTAATTAATGATCTAAGTATTTGCCATAAGATTATTTCTCGTCTGATAACGTATTTAGTCTCATAAGTCTAGTAAATAATGCAACATACACAAATGTTTCCAAATATCTACTTACCATTTTACTATTTACCATATTTCCCGTCCACATTTTACCCGAATGGTAAGGAGCAAGCTGGGATGGTAAGTAGGTATTTTTTCTATTTAAATGAGCTATTGTTTCAATACATGCTATATTTAAACTGCCGTGTAAATTACTAAACCACTACAAATTTCAGATGCAAGAATAGCGCAAAATAGCACTTTCTGCGCTTTTTTCTGTTACTGTCAATCTTCTCTTACAGTAGTGGTTTGATATTTAGTATTAAATATTTATTATCTCATATCGTCGCTTTTTGGTTTCTACCTATACTTATTCAATAAATAGGTATTGAGTTTTTAGCTCCAAAACCGTAATCCACACAGACTGGTCAATGCTATTTGGTGCATGTCACATGTCCTTGAATGATTAGTTCTAGGATACGCTGGTTACCTCACGATGTTTTTCTGAGGTGTTATGGAGCAATGGTGACGATAAAATGTCCACAAAAGACGTACGTCGGGTGATGTTCAAACCTTTAACTTACAAATTGTAAGTCTGAAGCCGTGATCACTGGGCTACCAGTGCTCTCATTGCGAATTACGGCCTAATACCTCCTAACTCTTAATAATAATAATGATATGCTCCAAAACCATTACACCTACATATATGTTACACCACGTTACTTTAATATTTAGAGAATCGTTAGCAGTGATATATCTTTATCATATTTTTAGCATGGAAGTTTAATAAAATGAGATACAATAGCACTTATAGGAAACCTATAGGATCTATTCCAAAGGATATCCATTTATATTTCAGATAAAATGCCGCGGAAAAAGCAGTCGCACGAAGAGGTATTGGCAAAAGCCCGACTTGCACGGCGAAACAGATATGCAAAAATAAAAGCAGATCCGGCTTTATATGCCTTAGAGAGGGAGAAGGAAAAGAAGAGATACATAAAAAGAAAAGAGGAAAAGAAAATATTAAGGTCTACTGAATTGACCCCAAGAGCTAGAAATATACAGAGAAAGAAATGGAGAGAAAATTTCAGAAGACAGTACCAGAGAAAACTCTTAGAAAAGAAAAGAACAGAAGAAGTTTTTATACTAGTTTCCACAAATGTGGGCAATGTTGATGATAAAAACAGATATGAACTTAGAAACTCGATTAACTCACCACAACCTTCTACATCACTAGATATAGACCATAAAGAATCAGTAATCCAAAACTTGAAGAAAAAAATTAGAACTTTGAAGAAATATATGGCGAATAAGGCACAAAAAGATAAAATAGAAATAGAGTTATTGAAGAAAAAAAATAACAAATACAAAAAAATAATTCTGAGACTTAGAAAACGCTTGCAGAGTCCTAACACAAAAGCAAAAGCTCTACTGCAGGATAAAACAAAAATAGAAGAAGCGAAAAAAAAGATTTTGTTTGGGGAGGCTATGAAAAAGACATTAGAAGACAGCTACAAAGCTCTAAAATCAAATACTGAGAAAAGAGCATTCCACAACACAATTATGCGTGAAAAACACATTTTAAAGAAGCATAAAGTTTTGTCAGAAGCACAGAATTTCTTGCTGAGAGAGAAGAAACAGCCTCACCAAAAAAATGTAGAATACGAAAAGTTAAAACAAGATATACAAGAATTTTTTGAACGGGACAACGTTTCTAGAGCTACGGCAGGAAAGAAAGAGTTTATAACACGACAAAAGGAGAGAAAGCAGAAGAGATATTTGTTAGATAACATGAAGAACCTACATAAAGTATTTGAATCCGAATTTCGAACAGTGAGTTATTCTTACTTTTGCAAACAACGCCCATACTGGGTATTGATTCCAAGTGTAAACCAAAGAGATACATGTGTTTGTAAAATCCATGCAAATATGGAACTATTGATTCAGGCTCTGTACAAAAGAAGAATAATAAAACACGCCAGCATCAATGATGTAATCAATTTTCTCTGTTGTGGAAAAAATAAATGTCTTATTGAGCGTTGTAACTTGTGCGAAAACAAAACTATTTGCTACGAAGAATTTGATAATAAGGACCTAATAACGTTCAAACAATGGCAAAATTCTACAACCAGTTATGAATCCAAAGGCATTAAAAAAAATAAAAGAATAATATCAAAAACAAAAATTACAACTAACCCTAAAGAAGCTGTTGAGCTGTTAGAACAGATGATTCCAAAGTTTCTAAAACATGAAGGGCTGCGCAGATGGCAATTTAGTGCAATGAAGGGTTTAAGGGAAAATCTTAAGGATAACGAAGGCATCATTCACATAGATTTTAGTGAAAACTATGCTTTAAAATATGAGTCTGAAGTTCAGGCTTTTCATTTTGGGGGAAGTAGACAAGAGCTATCACTACAAACTGCTGTCATCTATTTCATAGATAAGGAAGGTCAGTTCACTAACAAATCATTTTGCACAGTAAGTGAAAATCTACGTCATGACTCTGCTGCGGTATGGGGTCATCTTATACCGCTACTAGAATTTGTTAAATTGGCTAATAACAATATTACTACTCTTCACTTTTTATCTGATTCCCCAAGTAGTCAATATAGAAATAAAACTATGTTTTATGTCATCTGTAAATTAAATTGGTATTTCGATGGATTAGAACGCATTACTTGGAACTATACTGAATCTGCTCATGGAAAAGGTGCAGCTGATGGGGTAGGAGCAGTAGTTAAGCGTACTGCTGATGCTGCTGTAGCACAAGGCAATGATGTTGCTACAATAGAGGATTTTTTGAGAGTAGTCAAAGAAAATACACAGAACATCAACATGGCTACTATTGATGAATATCATATCATAGAAAAAGATCTTTTGATACCTTCAGAAAAACTGTTAAACTTAAAAGGTACAATGAAAGTCCACCAGGTATTGTGGCAAAAAGAAACTGAAAGTTTAATATTTAGAGAGGCCAGCTGTTTTTCCTGCGTAAGCACCTGTAAACATACAAAATTTATTGGTAAATTACTGTACAAAGACCCAAATCACCCCAATGTTGCAGATAAGGAGAATAATGAAAATAATAATAGACAAACCAATCCTGATACTAAACCAATGAGATTAGCTACAAATACAAGTAACGAACCGAAAGTTAAAATAATAAGTAACGTACTGCTTAGTCCCAGAAAAAACAGGACATTCGGCAATATTAGTAGTAGCAATGTTACAATGTTAACGGACATAAAACCAGACAATAAGATGCATTTGGACCCGAATATTAAAATTGAGGAAATGGTAAATATATATAATATATCAGGTAGTGAGGCTAACTTTTCTGGTATATACCAGGAGTTTATTGAATCTTCAGAGTTGGAAGCAATTAGAGATCGTTATGAGACTGACGCTTTTCAGACTCGGAAACATCAGGTGAGTGTTTCTGAGTCTGAAAAGTGCCAGTGTCGTAATGATGATATTGATTCAGATACTTCGGATTATAATATTTTTTAATTGTTTTGACTATGTACAAGAAAATAGCTACATTTAAGGTTCTCATATTAAATTGAAGTTATTGTTTAATATCCAAAGAAATTGCAATTACTTTTATGTTATCTGTTTTATCGGAAAACACAAGTTTCTACTAACTTTTCTATTTTGGTGTGTATTATACCAATAAAATTACACTGCTTATATTATCATAACCAAAAAGTGTTAGATTACCTACCTATGTGATTTTTATAGACTATTATTTGCCAAAGTTCATTAATACTAAGACTGACGCTTAAATAGTGTAAGTAATTTCTTTAGAATTATGCTTTATTTAATAAAACTTTGCAAAAAACAGTTAATAATATTTTTCATATAAATTTAACTTTAATTTCATAGATTTGACTGGTATTTTAAATGCAAAGGAGATCTCAATTATCTAGTCTAGTGATAATGTTTATTCAACCACACAGGCATATCTTTTTTCAATTTGATACTGTGTCGGAAATCGTTTTTTTTTTAAATAATTGAATAAATAACATCACTGCAATTTGTGTTTTACTAATTCCATTCCTATAATATAATTACCATTCTAAAATTCTCTTTACCATTTGTTTAATTTCTCATTACCGTTTGCACAATAATTTCAGATCAAAATTGTGATGTATATAAAGGCTTATTTTTTGGTCTCACGCAATTTTTGTATGTCTATGCGATCTAGCTTTGCTTTGAATATCTAAAGAACAGTTTTATGAGTACAATTTTTTCATTCTTTAAAATTGTCTAATATGATCATTTGCAAATATTCACCCATAACCTAAATCTCTTAGCTTTCTTTGGTTAACGAGCGTTTAAAAATTCTCTCTAATCTGTGGCTTATTCACAATTCTTCACATCACATAGTTTCTGTCACAGAATACTTTATTATACCCGGAAATTCATAGATGACACCTGATGTTAAAATCTACTCTTGTGCATTAACTTTTAAAACAGGCAACTATCTGATAATCTACATTCTTTATATACCTGAATCAAATCATATTTTAGGTATAAATCTAAAGAAAATATAACTAGAAAAAATTCCACGCGGACCAGGCAGCAGACGGGACTGGTCCGCGTGGATTTTTTTCTAGTTATATTTTCTTTAGATTTAAACATCAAGCAGTTACATGCTTTAAAAATAATAAAATTTATAAATATTTTAGGTACTTGGCTTGATTTCCCTAGTTTACTATATAACATATTTGATTTTTATTATTTTAATACCTGTGTACCTATTTGCAAACATAACCTCAAAATCATTCAGTGTATATGGTTTATAGAAGTTCTCAGGGGTGTCCGTCAATAATATTCGTTTCTACAGTAATTTATATATAATTTCGAATCTAGGAAACATTTTTTCGTGATTATTGGTCTTTAGGCCAAACATGTATGGAAGCTGAGCGATCTCCTTTGAAGCGGAATAGATTGTTGTATAGAAAAGAATGCTTAACTGTTCTATAATAAAGTTCAAATCGATTGAAATGAAGGTTATTCACAATTTGCCCGGTGTTATAAAAATTTATCAAATTAAATATTCATTTCTGAAGTGAAACTTCACTGCGGACGGGGTGTAAATAGAAAATTCCTATGGCGAAGATGAAACGGAAATGCGTTACGGGCGTCATGGCGGAACTCGATCGCGTTCGGCTGCGATTGTTGAAGTTAAGCAACTTTCGCAGTGGTCGGTTATTGGATGGGTGACCAAAAATCTTCTATCTCGAGTTCCTCCGTGCTTTGGAAGGCACGTCAAGCCGTTAGTCCCGGCTGCATGTGCAGTTTTTGGCAGCCACCAATCCGCACTGGGCCCGCGTGGTGGTTCACGGCCCAATCTCCCTATTCCATTCATAGGGAAGGCCTGTGCCCCAGCAGTGGGGACATTAATAGTCTGATGATGATATATATTCATGTCTTCATTATTTTGTTATAACTCTCCTGATATGGTATAATGATAGCACTATTATTATTGTTATAATTATCAACAGTTAGTAAAAATCGGTCAGGCTTTGATAACAATAACTTATCTGGAATGGGTTATTGATCTAAACGATAAGTGCATGTTTCACTTCGCTATGCTTTTGCTATGACATAGTTATCATGAATTAAAGGTGATTGAGGAAAAACGGTAAATTTAAATTCAAATATTTTTAAATAAACAATATTTCCTAAAATACTATATTAATTTAACTCACATAATACATTAAAACTACTAAATAAACTAAATACTTATATACCAAACTAAAAATAAGACTATATTATGTAAAAAATCGACCCCAAATCGCTGCGCTCACAGGGTAGGGTGCGCAAGAGGCTGGCGGCATTTCCCCGTTGAAAGGCCAGGCCCAACCTTTGTCCAGAACGCGCGCCAGCCCTTGGATCCCCTGAGGCGTCGATGAGGCGTGTGGAAATCTCCTTAAATAGCTGACGAGCTTCCACACCCCAAGGCCCCAAGGTCTCCACGGCAAAAGGTGCAAATATATGGCTGACGGCTCTCCCAAAGCCCCATATTTACGGCTTTTATTGGTTTCGGCTGTCGCCGCAGCTGCGCCGGCTTTGCGAGCGGTCGCTCTCACGTGAGATGGGGCAACAGTGTCCACGCATGTGGTATCCCACACGAGTGACCGCCCGGTTCTCCACGGGATAAGCGTCATACCATCGGGCCTCTTGCCATCGTCTCGGGCGATGCCATTAGGTTCAAGCACTGCTGGCACCCCGGAAGAGGCAAGGGTGTGACGGATGGCGTCATTTAAGGCGGTATGGCGCGGAATGCGTCCTGCACTGCGACGACTTGCCAAACCGTGATGACCTTTTTTTTTTTGTGACGAGGGGAAATGCAGTTACGCACCATACCGTGACGCTGACTAGGCGCACGGCGTGTGTGGGACTTGCCGGCACGGGAAACAGTGCCGACCCTACTCAAGCAGGACCAGTGCGGAAGGCCACACTGATCCTACTCCACTAAAACCCCCCGGTACCCTCCTACGCCCATGTGGGGGCGTCTCGGGGCCGACGCACCTGCGTGCGCCACAACTCCGAGCCCGCCCCCGGGCAGGCCCGGCCCAACGAGTGGACCGGGCGACGCGCCTCAGGAGGACTGCGCTAGGGTACTAGGCAGTCCCCAGACGTGGTGGCCTATGCCGGAGCGGCACCTAGGGCGCGCGGCTGGTCAGGCCGCGCCCAGGCCACCTTAGGGCCGTCGAAGACCGGCAGTCACCGCTGCCTGCCTTCTTCGGCCCACCCGTCTACGCCGGAGAGGGGCGGCTAGAGCGTCCTCCTCTCGCTCCCTCTCCGCTGCCTCCTTCTGCGCCATCACAGATTCGCAGAAGGAGGCGGCAGCCCTAAAAAACCGTGATGACCTAAAGGATCGACGTCTACCCCACAACGACAGCGATGGGGTTCGTTCGTAAGAGCCCCTAGCCGTATTAATTGAGATCGCTCATCAGAAAATCTGAGCCTTAAAACTCCTGTACACAATGCCTCCTTCTATAAATATTCTTTTTGTGTTGAAGCTGTGCGCCTCTGGAACTCTCTTCCTGTTGAGATCAGACGTGCACAGACTATAGGAAAGTTTAAAAAAGAGGTAAAGGAAGTTTTCCTTTTGCAATAATAGGGGTGATGACGGAGTACAGTAAACGAAATTTTATTTACTCCGTTAGTTAGATGATCAAAAAATAATGGACACGTATTTTTTCTTTGGGCAATCTACCAAAGTTATAGCGCGTCAAAGTTTGGGTGTCGGGGCTCGTGACGTCACTTTTTAGTGAATATTCGCTTAAAAGTGTACTCAAACGTGACGTCATGCGACTTTTCAAATCAATATATCTCTGCAATGTTTATATTACGTGAAAAAAGAAGAAATACGTGTCCAATACTTTTTGATAATCTACCTGATAAACGAGGAAAAAAAATAGTCATCATCCCTATTGTTTCTGTTGTCCCCATACATTCTCCCTGTTGTTGCTTGCATCATATGATTATTATTAAGTTTATTATAAATGTGTATTTTATTTTATGTACCGATGTTTGTTCTTGTTTGTTTATTTGAATTTTATCAGTTTCGATTATTTAATATGAACAGTAATTTTTATCATGGTTAGATTTTGTTTTATTTTTTATTGAAGTTATACTTCTTTAGGCGCGTTATGAAAAAATGATGAGAGTGAAATTTTAAGATGCGCGCGCATCACTGTAACACAAAATATTAACAGCATGCGTTGCTTTTGTGTTTACCGCACATTAAGAAAATCTACCAACAAAATAGAAATAGAATCTCTCTTTAGTGGGTGCTAACGACTGCATTGTGAAGGCCTATCAAAAGTATTTATTAATCTGGAACAACGGAACCAAAGCGCGATTCGGGAGACTACAGCGCCATCTCTTGACCATTGGTGTAGTAGAACCAAAAACCACATTTTTATTTTTTGTAATAAAGTAACAGTTATAGGTATTCATATTTATAATATTTATCCACATGTTTCTAGTTTGTATATTCGGAATACGTGTTTGAGTTTTATACAAGTGCAAATCACATATGTTCTAATAAATTATATTCAGTAGCGATTTTAATTGAATATTTTAATTATTTATTTATTTTTTCAAATTAAAACTGAACTTTATTGACTGTGTCCTTTTCCAGACTTTTTATTAATTTATTGTAATTAATTATTTGCATGCAATTAAAAACTAATTTATTTTAAACGATGCCAAAGAAGGATAACTTCTCACGCGCCTACATAAGTACACGCACCCATTTTTTTTTTAGTCTTGTAATTGCACACCCACTCTTTGATTAAAATTCGTCTCACCATCCTATGGTTGTCTGGAAAAAATATATATATATATATACTAGCAAACCCGGCGAACTCCGTTTCGCCATCATATTGCTTCGTTTTATGTAACATTTCGTTTTGTGATTAAAAGAAGTTTTTTTTTTTAATTTTTCCTGAATTTTCTTCTCTATAAACCTCACGGAGCCCGAGATCTTTCCAACGAATGCAAAACCGTGGAAATCGGTTCGTGCGTTCTGGAGTTATAGCGTCAGGAAGGAAAACCCGACTTATTTTTATATAGTAGACTAGCAAACCCAGCGAACTCCGTTTCGCCACCAGATAGCTTCGTTTTATGTAACATTTCGTTTTGTGATTAAAAGAAAACGATTTTTTTTTAAATTTATCCTGAATTTTCTTTGCTATAAACCTCACGGAGCCCGAGACCTTTCCAACGAATGCAAAACCGTGGAAATCGGTTCGTGCGTTCTGGAGTTATAGCGTCAGGAAGGAAAACCCGACTTATTTTTATATA